ACAAGATTGGTTTTTCTTATCTTCTCGGGTTCTTGCCTTCTTTCTCTCCTGCAATTTATTTTAAATCAATTGTAATATATTTGTCTGATTCAAAAAGGAAGTAAATAAATGTTGAATTGAATTGAATTGAATAGTCACACAACCCCTCAAATTCCAGAGAGCCGCATTAGTTATATTCATTTTCTGACAAGGTAAGTCCAGTAGTAGCAGTGTCATAAGCAATGCGTATAGGTTTACATGAATTATTATTGAGACAGAAGTCATAGGTAAGAGTATATTGAAAAAAATATATACTGGACATACAACCTTGTGGTACACCAGTATTAAATACAATTAAGTCTGATAACAAATCACCAATCCTAATACATTGCGGCCTATTACATTTACATTTCTCCCATCCATTGAGATATAATGAGGGGGGCTGATGCTAATGGAGGACAGTTTTTGAAGTACATAGATGAGGTGAACAGTATGTTATTAAAGGCTGGGGAGAAGTAAAAGAACATTGATCTGGTGTAAGAACCTTTCTTTTTCTAGATGAGAGTAAATAGAATGAAGAAAAGTTACCCAAATCTTACTTTTGTAAGCAAACTGATACGAGTCTAATGGATCAAATACATTCGCTTAATAACATTTGTTTCACTATAGTTTAACATTTTAAGTATTTTATTTGTAAGGCAGTTAATGCTGGGCATTCACTGCGTCGTACGATCGTCGCACAACGAAGCCTAACGCGCTCCCTGTGAGCGATAGACGAAGCAAGGCCGTCTGTTGATTGTCGGTAGCAGTGTGAACGGATCCTTATTTTGCATACACGAAACAAAAAGCAAAACTTTACCATTAGGTAAGCGGCGCCTTATCAGATATCAGCATTCTTAAGGGCGCCCTCTGTTTTGCAGTAGTAGTAGTCCGTTTCAATTTTAATAATATCTTGACAGTCAGACCTCTTGGACTTCTGTATAAGCAGGTTTAAAGCATTAAGATTAGTTAGGATTAAAGTCCCATGCAACGTGATCAGGTTAAATTTATAAGGATATAACTTTATTGTTGCAATGTATAATAAATTACTTATGCTGGTTTACACATTATATTACTTGCACAGTGATTACAGATTCAGAGTGAAAGTCTCATTCAAAGTGATCAAAGTTTGAAGTCGTCAATGAGATAAAAAAATTTATTGTTATAAGGTACAATGAGTTGCTTATACAATTTGATTTGCATATTTGTTTGTGGCACAGTGTTCATTACAGTGGCGACGCGCGGGGAGGCATCATGGATTTAAGCG